GGAGCAAATGGGCAGTCTGGAAGACTCAAATCACGTGTGTATTACGAGTACGCTTGCTGCTCACACCTAATATTCCAAACAAAAAAAAACTTTTCAAAAATTCACTTCATTAGGTGTAATTATCATACGCAACAAACACAACAGGCTCTTACAGGTGCCACGAACACCCACCCTTATTATTGATGTCAGTGTCCTTACCGGATGGATACGCTGTGTCCTGCACAGAACACCAAAAGGGTGCTCCATGACTTGGCTTACATGGGTGCTGGCTGCATCGTACTGCTACATCAAGTAAAAGATGCAGTTACCGGCCTTATGTCGTCTGAGGCCTGTATGAAAGGTCTTTCTCCTTGCAAGTGGGAAAGAGCTAGGCATTTTCACCCGCGTGCTATTTCCTTCCAGACTACTTGACCCACAGGGTGAGTCACAAGCTTGAGAGCTCAATAAGGAGTCAAAGTGTTTGTGCTCGTTCAAAAGCACGAGCTTTTCAACCTCGGATGATTGGAGTTTCATCCATAGGCTGCAGGCTTTCCACTGTCAACGTTCTTAATTATCCCACAATTGACTTCTATTATTATTCAATAACATTATGTGTGAATAATACAGGTATCTACTGCAAGCAACAATACTAGGGTTTTGAATTTGTGCACAGTAAGTGGTATTTACTTAATCGTATGTATTTAGAATAACTAACCTTGCAACCAGCCATTAGGCAGACTTGTGCCGTTGAAGCTCCCAGGTACATCACAGTCCTTTCAGATCAGGCATGTCATGCACACTTCCAGGCCACTTCCAGGCACGCTGATTGATAACAGTCCCGGCAGTGACATAGACTTGCACATTTAGGGAGCTCCGGCTCTTCCGATTTTTGTACAGGTGCTTCAAGCCTTGAAGAGGCTTTTATTCATTAAAAGCACTAACCTTTAATATTTTTGACGAAGCTATCACTTCATCAAAGTGATCAAATCTGCTATACTCACTCTGAAACAAACTGAAGCCCCATGTAGTATATACATAGCGCAATATATTTGTCCTAGTGAAGAATAGTGCTGTCTCAGCGGTAATCGTCTCTAAAACGATTTTTTCAAAATAACATGAATTCTTCAAGTGCAACTTGGCTATTGGAAAATAAATTCACATTAACTTTCCAACTATCAGGCGTGGTACATAGAGAGGCCTGTGCTAATAACCAAACAAGATATTCATTATATCAAGTCACAAAAAAACTGCTGATGTATTTCCCCCTTTTCCGTGATATTTGCACGTATATAACAGTTGTAGTAAATTTTTCATGCCTGAACTTAACATGGAAGAACTTTATATCTGCTGGGCCTGAAAAACTTGCACACGTTATAGTACCGTGTGTATAGCAACAAATTTAGTTGCAACAAACTCACCGATGGCAAGCGTTTAGTAGTCGTCAGTGTCATCAGGGACCAAGTGTGCTCTGGGGCCAACAGGCAAAGAACGTCTACAGACTGGACGCTGCCGATGACATAGCAGTGAAAGGCTGGTCAGACGTGCACGTCGATTGATATAGTGTAAGAACTGGCCATAAGCCGCTGTTGTCAAGACTTTAGTGCCATGCGAAACGATCGCCAGACGAACTCGAAAACCTGCAGTTAGCCGGTACTGACCTATATCTTCATCCAAAGCAAAGCACCGGTGAAATCTTTGCTCTTTTCGAGGGCCGGGGGAAAGCTTGACGTTGACAGACTCTCACTGACACTTTGAACTCTTAACTTCTTACTGAACAACAGTCTAAGCGTGCTGCCAAAGCGACGCAATCCACAACAGAATGTAGCATCTCGCAGCTACGGCTCGACACATCCAGCACTCGGACTATGGTTATCACAAAAAGAAGAAGTGACCAGTTGACAAACAGAAACGCCAATCCCCACCACCGCAGCTTCGCAGGGCAAAACACTTCTCAACGCTATCTTTCAATTTTCAGTCACTCGCGAGCACATCCTCTTCACAAGTCTTGGAAACGTCAACAGAGCACCACTGTTTACAATGAATATTGTTCCACTCACAAGAAACACTAGACTGCTTACAAGAATATACAAGCGTACGTGCTAACCAGCGGCGAAGCCAGAACCGAACACAGCGCGTAGTTCATACGCTTTCGTACGTACTTGGGCTCACTGAAATAACGTGCCAAAGCACTGTCAATCCGATATATCGCACAGCAACCAACTGGGAGACTCGAGAATGAAATGAATGAACTGTTACCTGCGTACGAAGACACATTGCAGCCTTCTTGAGTGCTAGTCGTCGTTGATGCACAGGCGCCGAAATCGCTTGATAAACACACCGAGGCACAGGCTTCGCTACGTGTCACCGTAAACCGATACACTGCCCCTGGTTTTCACACCGCTTAATAGCACCAAAAAAGAAGCAGTAATCACAACACATTTAGTAGAACGCTGAAGGAACTTGACCTAGAGGCGTTTGTTAAACTTTGCACCGACCAATACCCAGTTTACAAGGCAATGTTGTTTTTGACAACTGCGCAGCACGTAAGATAAAGTACTTCTTAAAAAGTACTTGCGCATTTTTTACGGCATGACAAAATTCCGTCTTTTGTGTGAGGAGAATGATGTGACGAGCACGACAGAGGTGTCATATGAAGGAAATGTTTTGACTAGGTCATGCAGCGAGCTTATATACCAATCACAACTGAGCTGATAAACCAATCACAAGCTTCGCCTGTCGGCCAAGGCGTCGTCTGTTCGCGTTTGTCCTTTCTTCGATCAGAGCGTGCGATGGGGTTTTGCCTTCGCAACGCAAATATTCCAAGGTCAAGTGGTCGCTGCGTCACCCAAAATACAGGCCAGTGGCTTACTCTACCTTTGAATGATATCCGTGTGCCAAGTTAAACGGCTAGTAATTGTCTCAGGGACGAATTTAGCCAAGGTTTGCGCCAGAATTGTGAGGGTTTGCACATTTACGGTGTCATTTAACTATACTAGGGTCATTGTATCCCGACTGCTTGCCGTATTATCACGGACCATATCGGTTTTTGAACAGTGAAGGCAGAAATGGTTGATTTCTTTCAAGTTCCACGCATAACCACGCACACCCCTGATACCCTTCGCTTTACAAAGTACGCACCCATCCCAGATCGTCCCAAAGTATATCGACAGCTGTATATCAAAGATCGTGCCCACTGGACAGTTAGAACCAATCGAAGTACACTAGAGTACGACCAAAGAATAGGCTTTATGAACCGCTATCTGAGAAGTTCCGCTCATTTTTATTTCCAATAGCGTGCAAGCGATGTGCTCCTAGTACCTTTTTTGGTGGTGGTTTCCATCAATGAGGCAAAGTTCTGGAGTTTTAATTCGTTGAGATGGGGCGGAACACAACATAACAAATAAGGGTGATCATACGTCATGCCGCATTCAAATTCACCGATCATTCACGCAGCACATTGGCTTTGATCCAACCACAAATATTTACGTGCATAATTTTACGCTATTGACGCCCTATAGAATTCTTCAATTACTGTGAATCCGAGCTTATGGGCCGACGGTGGTTAGTCGATACCATTCACTGCGTACAAGAAAAACAACACACGAAACTGAAAGCGCCGGAATAAATAAAAACGCATCAGCAGTCATCAGGTAGCCCTACCTGGGCGTGAATCAACTCAAAACCAGCCAGTACAGCAAAGTATACCACCACGGCGGCAGGTTCTAAGGAGCCACATTGTTCTTAAAAGTGGTCCCGACCACTCTTAGAATTATCTCGTAGCCAGGCTGTTCTTACGCAAAACTCCGCTTTGTGCACGATGGCGAATATCCGAAATAGCTTTAACAATATTGGCTGGACACAAAGACCAACGAACAGTAGATATAGTCTAGGCACCCGCTCACTCCTCCTTACCCGGCAATGAGGCTGCACACCAGACAGCTCGAGAACTCAGAGATCGAGCCTCTGCTGGATCGCCCTGGTCGAGCAGAGAGGACGATGATAGATTTGAGCGGAAAACCACTTACAGGGATATTACGCAGTACTACAGGCTAAGCAGGAAAATTTATCCTGCCGCCCACTTGTCATTGATAAAAGGACAGGCGGTGGCGTGGCGTCGACTCAAGACCCATACGTTTTCTGTTCCGGTAAATTAACTGCTGCGTTCCGGATCTTCATTCGGACGCGTGTAAATTTTGCAACAACAGAGCGGACTTAAGTCATTTTTTATGGGCAAGCCCGCAGGCCCCATGAGAGGCGAATTCCCAGACGGGAGTGGATGGAATACCACGCTCCTCAGCTATGACTCTCAATTACAAGCCCGCCTAATACGGCAGGCCGAAGACGCCGCCAAGGCCCATGAGATCATAGCCGTCATCTAGGATTGGTCCCCCCCCCTCTCGCACCTGAAAGGGGAGGAAGATTTTTCTGCAAATAATAAAGTTTGTTCATCACCATCGTGAATTCACTTCCGAGTACTTTCCGGTGACGGGAGCAAATATAGCAACTCCATCACCATCGCTGACATGTTCCCAGGCAATCGCAGCGCGCTTTGTTGTAGTGGCCGATGTGACAACGGTGGCCTCTTACGACGTTTTTTTTTTCGTTTCCTGAATCAACTTGTGCAACAAAATTTATCTTGAGTGAAAAACTTTTTTCGTACGTGAGCTTTGTGAAAACGGTCCCAGTTCTTTCTGTACACTTTGTGCTGTGTTTTCTATAGATTTTCACTGTTCTCCCGCTCAGTAAATGGTGTGAACTGCATTTACTCCAGCAACCACCACACAAAATTATGGGACGTCTTAGTTCTAAACTTGCCCCTTATTGTTGTTTCTGTTATGCATTGGTTACGTCATGAGTCGCTCTTGCGGTCATCTTTCAAAATTTTGACTCTCTGCACCACTACTTATTTCATGCGTAATTCAGTTTGAAACCATTGGCAGGAAAAAATATACAAAACGATGCGCAATCTAAACGTTGATGTTGCTACTCACGTTCTCTTTTTTTTCCTCTCTATCTCGCAGTTTCAAACTGGTTTCTCACGCTGGCGATTGTTGTCCTGATGAACCAAGTCGGCGCTATTTTCAGGTTTCAAAAATGGGACGATATTCTTCACATGATGGCGACGTTGGTCGCAATCACGTTTTCGTTTATTGATGTTGGCCACTCGTCATTTTGGCCACTTATTGGCTTTACGTATGTACACACTTGGTATCAAATCAGAGAAAGCATCGAGGAATTCATCAAGGAGAAAATGAAGCATGGTGCCGATACGCACGTCTACATTAGCTACGGATTGCTTGCACTTTTTGGCCTTGGTAAGTGGAGCCATTTCTTTCAAAATGTAGTCGTCCTTGCTCTGAAAAACTTTTTACTGCATAATAGGATTAACGTTGACACGACATGTCCCTCTGAAAACTTTTGGGATATCCTTACGTTACTGGGATGTCGTTGCGCTTTATTTGTTTAGCGAAAAATGACGTTACTTCAATCGTAGTTATTCATTCACTAATCGGCTAATTGGTGAAATTTTATTGAATATTTCAGAACTTTTTCATTATGCGGCTTCGTTGATTGTTTGTAATTAAAACACACTGCTTTTCTGCTTAAACGCGTCAACGTACAACGCTAAGTATGCAACAAATGGGCAAATATTTATAGCGACGTCCTCTTCATGCTATGTTCATATCTACTATACATTAAAAACAGTAAATCAAGTAACGTAATGGCACTCGTGCAGTGAAGTGTTGACTTCTATTTGATAACCTGAGTATATTGGATGCAGTCGATGTAGGCATTGTCATATAGGTTTCCTTATTGATTCGCGTGTTTTACACAATTGACATCTAAAAGGTACAGCTAAGCGTTCGTGAAGATGGATATTGTGAGCACTTGTTCGGTGCTGTATCTTTGTGTACTCGGTAATTTTGTCTCACGTCTACGTTGCACTCCTGGATAGTATGTGCGAAAATTCCTGCCACTGGAGCTCCTCGGGGAGCTCATTGCTGAAGATATGGCTTCTTTTCTGACGAAAGCTGGTGAACCTAATTGACGATGTGATCTTTATACAATACAAGTAAATCTTTGTTGCCCACTTCCACCAATTCACATTGCCTTAGCATGACTCACATGGTAGCAGCTGCACCCTTCTTAGAGGTGCTGGACGTTGAAATGACTGATGGTAAAATTAGTAGACATGTTTGCATAGAATGAACAAGTTTATATACTTTTTAGTGACAGTGTGGTCTAAGTAGTAGAATTACAAAGTAAGAAGGTGGGAGACCAGGGCATGAATTGCCTGCAACAATGCTTACTTGATACTTGATACAAAATAGAGGTTCGCTGATATTTAAACAAAAGTGATGCTCAAGCGCATCGTCAAAGTTAGCAGCCAGGCACGCAAACTCGGGTAATCTGTAACACTTAAGAATCAAGAATCCAGAAAGCTTATTTTCAGCAGTTGTTAGGGATCATAGAAGAGGTCTTCGGGCTCAAGTGGGCGTAGACAAGCTGATGATGATGACTCCAGGCGAAAAGCAGCGAAAATGCAGCTTGATTGTGCCTTGGGATCCGTACAAAAGGCCATGTTGACATTATTTCTCTCTACACAAAGAAACAAATTAAAAACATGGAAATACTGGAAAATATAAAACATACAATTTAAACCTGTGAAAGCAAGTGTAATTCATGTATACGTATTGTAAAAACAGAGAAATAGTGATGTTGCATAGTATATTCAAAGATGCTTGCTTTTAAACATTTATAATACTTTATAAATTTATAGCACACGAATTTAAAGGAAGTTTTTACAAGATACAGTGAATGCTATGTGTGTTGATAGAAGTTGATGATCCTGTTTAGTGATACTCAGACGTAAAAAGAACATTCAACGTTTTACTGATGTTGCTAAAATAGATACCCTAGCTGTACTTGACATTTGTTCAAGACATTCGGCATATTAAATGATAGTGATTGCTTGCCGTAGGGTGTGCGCCATCGCAGTAACAACCATTTCTCCTGGCTTCTTTCTGTAGGATGGCCAATTTTTTTTAACTACAGAGACTGCTTAAAAATTTCTTAATAGTGTCATTAGAAAAGAAGTGCAAGTGTAGTATGCGGTGCTGTTAAATCAAAGTGTCGTTTAATATTTCATTGTGAACAAGAAATGGTCGAGTGGTATGAGTATGAGAAATGTTCTAGTGGCATCGCAATGATTTCTTTTGTAGCAGGAGGATTCTGCCCAGATTTGCAGCGTTTTTGTTCCCCACATAAGTGTGCAAAAGTCAACACGGGCGATGAACAGTGTGTTATATATTTGCATATTGACACTGCGGGGAAAGAAGCTGAAGACAGTGATTTCACAAAATGTTCCATGTGAGCTGCCCACCTCATATCAGCAGAAAGGATCAAACTCAGAAGTGAATGTCAAAAATACTGTTGCAGTGATTCTGCTTGGGCGAAATCAGTTTGAAAGGATGTTCGCTTGTGTGCGTCTACTGAGTATAAAACAATATAAAGCTCCGACGCGAGGGCTAAGGACATTTCGATGACCAGCACAGTTTTAAACACCTATGTTTTAAACAGGCTGCTTATTAGCATTCTACCTCAAACAAATTTGTCGACTGTGCCTCTGTTTCGTCCCGGAAGCTCCAAATCAGCCGTCGAATGCAACAATCTCCGGTCTGTTTCCTAGGTTAGCCATGGCCTGTCTTACTGTGCTACAGCAAAAAAAAAAAAGAGAAACACACGTGAATCCAGGGAGTACCGGGAAAAAGATGAGCAGAACGTAAATATAGAGGAAAATAAGTAAGAGAATGAGTGTTAGTGTTTACAGTTTTGACAGCCACAATACGAATGTGAAAGATACTGTAGTTCGAGGTGAAAGTATTTCAAAAGAGTAGTGCACTAATGTACAACAAGGAGTGGAATGAGAAGCAACAGTAAGGATGAACGATGTGAAGGTTACAATGAAGAGGAGGAGAAAGATGGTAGTAGGGCGAGAGATAACGAAATGAACAATGCAAGAAAGATCCGTAATGTTATGATCTGCGGTTTAACGTCCCAATCCACGATTTGATAATGACAGACGCCGTAGTCGAGGCCTCCAAATATTTGAACCACCTGGGATTTTTTTAACATGCACCTACACGTGAGCACAAATGGACTCAGACATTACACCCTCCATCGAAAGTATAGCGGCTGCAGTCACGATTCAATCGTGCGACCGTCGGGTTGGCACTCGAGCGCTATAACCACGAAACTATCATGGTGGGATGAGAGAAAAAAGGAGTGAAAGATGGTGCAGAAAGGGAGTAACAAAGAATGAAGGCCAAAAAAGAGAAGATTATATAAGTTTATAAAGCCAATCTGTGTTTATGATGGCTGCGCTGGCTGGTGTGTGTGTGTGTGTGTGTGTGTGTGTGTGTGTGTGTGTGTGTGTGTGTGTTTAAACGTACGCACGAAAATGTGTACAATTTTCACGTATTCCTCGTGTAGTGACGTGCTTCTTTTCTAACTCGTTTTTCTTTTGCAGGCGCCTTTTTTATATGCCTGAGCCATTGTTGCTGCGAACGCAAGCAAGGCCATCGTCATTTGTTTCCCAACAAAAATATTTTTGCTATCTCTTGCACCTGAAAGGGGAGGAGGATCTTACTGCTAATTAAATGAAGTTTGTTCAGCACCATTATCATGGCAAGAAGAAAACAGAGATACCCGCCGTTTTCATTTCTTTTGTGTGTGTGTGCGTGAGTATGCAGTATAAGGTTGCAGTGTAAGGTTTGCGAAATAGAGGAAATCTTGCCGCACTCATCTGAAAAACAGATGTGTGAATGAACGAATGAAATTGTTGAAAATAAACGGTCCAAACAAACTTTTCTGATCACCCTTGAGATTGATTTGTGGGGTTTAACGTCACAAAACCACGATATGATTATGAGCGACGCCGTAGTGGAGGGCTCCGGAAATTTCGATCACCTGGGGTTCTTTAACGTGCACCTAAATCTGAGCACACGGGCGTACAACATTTCCGCCTCCATCGAAAATGCAGCTGCCGCAGCTGCGATTCGATCCTGAGACCTGTGGTTGAGCAGCCGAGTACCTTAGCCACTAGACCACCACGGCGGGGCATGGTCGCCCTTGAGAGGCCGAATTCACTTATAATATTGCGACGTTAAATTGTGACACTATCGTAAGAACAAATTTGGCACAACTTCATAATGACATTTTTTCGGATTCCTTGATCAGTAGATAAAGCTAAATATTTCATAATGAATTTAATAAACAATGAAAACGTGGAACTCACAGTAGAAAAAAACAGCGCCTTCCTTCAGGCGTTTGTAGAGTCCAACTCTTCAATTTGACTTTATGCAGTGCTTTCGCATAGAAATGTGTCACAGTGGCCTCGGATTTTTTTTCGCTTGGACTCTACGAATAAAGTACACAAACTCGGTTATCGTTCATTCATTCAGATAGCGTAAAAAGCCCACCTATCGACCGTATGGATGAAAGTGTTACACTCCAATCAAGTTTCAAGTTCCTGCGCAGTGCTTACAAATAAATCCTTCTTTATTAAAATAAAGAAGGCATCAATATGCGCTTCTTTAGATATTGTGTTACTTCCTTAATGTAGGGCCACTGTGACCTTGCCTGAATTCTATATACATTTGGAGCTTTCATACAAAGATCACCTGTATTTTATATTTTACAATTTCTTGATGAACCCCGTCTTCAATACTTTATGAAATTCTTCTTCGTAATGTGTAAGAATGAACACACTATAAATGGTATGATATAGTGGACGGATTTCACCTCATTGATAGTGTGCAAAAGCTGAAATGGAGAGTAGTGCTTTCAACTACTCTTTTGGACTTTATTTGCAAAGTGTAATTTCATTTTCGTAGTTTTTATTAATTGTTTCGTAAATGTCTTACAAGATCTTGAAGGTATTCTGACCTGGCTGTACTCTTTGAAGCGCTCATTGTTGAATTTTTATTGAATACCGATTATGCTAAAATTTTAACGCGACAGCATAACAGCTAGTTTGGTGGAAATTCCAGCCTGGGTGTCCCTGGTTGTGAATAAATATATGTTGTCTGCATGACCGAAAAAATGAGAAGTATGCCAATAAAATGATTATTAAACATTTACGGATCCTAGCAGGATAGAAGCCAGGTTGTTCACGTGAGAAGCAGGTGGTCTACTACAATGCACGCATCCACTTGTATACACAGTGAAAATAATTTCCTCTGTTTTGAAGTGCACTGAAACTAACTTTTATGCTTTACGAACACACTCTTCCCGTATGCGGCCTCCACACTACAACATGTGATGTCATAGTAATATTGCCCCGTCGCGGTCGTATAGTGGCTAAGGTCCTCGGCTGCTGACCCGCAGGTCACGGGTTCGAATCCCGGCTGCGGCGGCTGCATTTCCGTTGGAGGCGGAAATGTTGTAGGTCCGTGTGCTCAGGTTTGAGCGCATGGTAAAGACCAGGTGGTCGAAATTTCAAGATCCCTCCACTACGGCGTCTCTCATATTCATATGGTGGTTTTGGGATGTTAAACACCACATATTATTCAATTATCATAGTAACATTCGGTTGTACAGACCTACTATCAGGCATCCGAGCAGACAACGATGTAAGTACTTCGTGGTTTATTGTCGGCTGCTTATTACAAAGCACGCGTACGTAGTCCCTAAAGAAACACGTAGGGGGAGTAGAGCAATTTGAAAAATAATTGACCATGCATATTTGCTCGTGGTTGGAAGGATGCTAGCCTTGACGCATACTGCAGCTATATTTGAAAGCTTCACTGACTGAAGCCACTTAGATTTCTATCGATTACTCTGTAGATATGCACAATGTAAACTTCTCGAGTAACACCACACAACTTAAAGTGTGCACTTCTCGGTACGCGCGAGCAAATTACACAGGAACCATGCTGTTAAGAGTCTCGATACGAACAAGCTTTATTGTTCGTTCGACTCGATTGGCTCGGGGTCTGTTTCGCACCTCCTCTCCTTCCCCACGCCTTAGTTGGCGATACAGAAGGCTGGAAAAAAATGTCAGTCTGCGACACGCTGGCAGCGCCATTTGCTGCACCATGATGTGTTTTGCAGGTGACCGCAGTACTCCCTCCTAGTGTGAGCACGAGTGAAAGAAAAAGTCGAAGCGGCCACTAGTACAGGCCGAGTTGGTCTGGCGCACCTGTACGTCTTCCACTGTGTGTGCAGTAAAATGTATTTTCTTGGGGATTTCCCACGTTCGTCGCTCCCAATCGTGAGAGATTTGGAGCTGCCCTGCAGATTTTAGTTGTATATATAGAGGTTCCTGTCGTTGACTCTGCAGTTGGTTTCAGTATGCGTTCGCTTAACTGGTTCATTGACTCACTTCCTGGTGGCCGCGCCTTTTGATGATACTTGTCATACGGCGCATAACTTTGAGGGTCCCACTGTGCGGTGGTTGTAACGTATCATGTATATTAAGGTGTGACAATGTACAATCACCAGCAAGGACGAGTTCTCGCTGTCAGTCAGGCAAAAGAACTCGCATGCCAGGCCCAGGGTTGTGCCGCAGACAGGTTCTGCAGCGCTACATCCAATGTCCACCTTGAGCGTGGTGCGTACGCCCCAAAATACAATGGGCAGTGTGTAGAACCAAGAGTGTTCTTCGCTTGCCATCACTGCATCTTTCCACTGCTGGTGAAATCGCTCAACCATCCCATTTTTCATTAGAATGCAAGCCGTCGTTTTCATCTGCGATATACCAATGAGCTTCGTCAGAGCGGGGAATAATGCGTACTCAAATCGGCTTCCTCTATAAGCTGTTATGGATGATGACACGCCGAATCGACGGAGCCAGTGGCTAACGAAAGCACGACAACAGTTTTGGATGTACTTCAGTAATCGGAATTGCCTCTTCTGAGCGCGTGAAAATATCCACACAAGCTAGCAAGCATAATTGGCCCTGACAGGGTGGTAGCGGTTCGACTATGTCGTCTAGTACATGGCGGAGTTGAGCATCAGGCCCCGGAAACACCTTCATAGAACCCAGGCACGGAGCAGAGGCTCGCACCATGGAGCGCAGGCACGGGAGACACTCGTGAGTTCACTGCCGGGAATCACGTTTAATGCCAGGCCATAGGAAATTTGCTGTGATGTGGTTTTTCGTAGCCCGAATTTCTGAGTCCACGCTTGACAAGTCGATCGGCACAGACGGAGGACGCGTGAAGAGCGTACGGGTTCAGGTAGTGAAGCAGAAGATGAGGCAGGCGTAGGGAGCACGTGCGGGGTGAATTATTGCGCTGCACGTGTAGAAAGACAGAAGTCACTCATCATGCTGATAATTTATGCGAACGCGTACGCGCGTAAAAAAGCCTAACAGCTTCGCTGTAAAATGAAGTTCGATGGCAGTCTTCGCACTCACTTTGAAAAAGTTCTTTGAAATTGTTTAAGTTAGAGTATCTTTCTTCAATATAACCCTAGCAAAGCGAGGCCAATACCTCGGTACGAAGGTGCGCGGACACAAATAATCTTGACTTGGCAGTGGACGTAACGCAGCAAAGACCTTCTGTACCTGGCGAGGAGAACTACTGCAGATTTACCGACATGAACGACTTTTTAGGCGGCGCAATTTGTCGTCATCGTAAGCAGCCGCCATTGTGTTGTGGTGTATTTCAGCGGGTCAGCTTAAGGCGACGACTAGGCTACATGAAAGAGGATCGGTGGCAGCGTTGTTTGCTCTTTTCTTGTGGTGAATGTTTGGGATAAATTCAGATACGCACGGCGTCTGTCGCTATTCACGGGCACTATGGGCACGCCCATGAGTATAAGTTGACCGGAGGGCATACGTGAGAGGCTTGTGGTCCATTTAGACAAAGAACTTGGTACCTTACAAGTGTTACCGGAAGGACCAGACTGTTACGTAATCGGCCAAGATTTCGCGTTCAAAGGTGTTGTACCACTGTTTGGTGGGCATCAGTTTCCAGAAAAAAAAGCGATAGATCGTCATACTCTTTTGAAGCATTATTGAAGTGCTACACACACAGCTGAGTTTGATGCGTGGATCATAGCGTAATGCGGAACTTCTAGTCGGACGTTTGCTAGGAGCGCAGTGTCGCCAAGACGCTTCTTAATCTCTTATAAGGCTGCTTGGGGTGCGCATCCTTCATCTTCTGAAGCCCCTTAGTGGCACCTCCTTGTGTCGACAGCAGGTAGTGAAAAGGCTGCAAATAGTTGCACACGAGGTTACGAAACAGTGGTTGTAGTTCACGAGACCATGGAGCTCACGGAGATGACGTTTAGCGTTGGGTTGTGGCAACTGCTCGAATGCTTTATCTTTGCATAATGAGGTTGGATTTCGCAGTTCGAGGACACCGGGTGAAGAAATGGCAGCTCGGGCACCCCAAACTCTTCCTTGACTGCGTACACCAGTATTCCATGCTCTGCCATGCGCTGAAACATAGAACGTAGACGCACCTCAGAGTCGTCTGGTGAGCTGCTTGCGATGAGTAGATTGTTGAGGTATGCATGACAGAAGTGGGGGCTGCAGAAAGAGAGAGAGAAGTAAACGTTTAATTCAGAAAACAGTTTTCCGAGCGAGGAGCGATGTCCCCCTAAGGTGGGAAGGTTCCCTAGTACAAGAACCCTCTGGCTTCGACCACCCTCTTGGCCCTGGCGACGAGTTGTCGCTGGCATTTCAGGTCTTCGAGGACGAGCTTACGTCGTTAATAAAGTGCTGAAAGGTCTTACTGTAGTTTCGCAAGCCTAACTACATGCGGAGGAACTCGAATTGAACACGCCAAACGGCGTCATTATTGCGGTGTTCGGAATGTCTTCTTGGGCCGTGACAATTCGATAGTAGGCACGTACGAGG